CCTAAGGCAGATGGATCATGTGTAGTTTGTGTAACAGCTGTGTGCCGTTATTGTAATACAGAATAAGGAAAGAGTACTCCAACAGCTTCTCTACTTTGTTTGTCTTCTGTTTTTAAGATTAATAAACAACACCTCAGACAGCAGTAGATAAATAGGTAACCTGCATTACTTGTACAAAAAGTTATATAAATACAAGTTTGCTGTTTCATTTTCTTTTTAGAAAAGGAAAGCATCCTTTCATAAAACACCCAACAATCCTTATCTTGAATGAGATGCTGCCAAGTCGCAGTTCAGAGACTAGACATGTGAAATTAAATTCACACTGTGCAGAGACAACACAGTAGCCCCTCCAGCTCGGATCCATCATGTTTATCCTATGCACAGTTACACAGCTACTATTCAACAGTGATCATCTGAATATGTTTTGCTATTAAACAAATGAAAATACTTCCCCGTACTGCTTTTGGTTAAGTACTGTACTAGAAATATCCACCACATCATCATCATCATTATTATTATGTTGTTGTTATGGAATTGTCATTCATTCCATGCATAATTATCGTTTTCCAAGTTAAAAATGTCATCCCTCCCTCACGTCATCGTTTATAAAGCACTCTGTGCATAGTGGAGCAGATCCTCAATTAAATGCAAATGCTATTAAAATTAAGATAAATACACTATTGTTGATTTTAGAGGAACAAAATTCTGGGGAGATTTAAAAAAACCCCAAAATAGTTTTATCTCGACAAAATAATGTACAATTATTAATATTGCACTTTTTGTACAAGAAATCCTAATAAATATACAGAAAAGATATACATTTACATACATAGAAAGACATTCTTCTTTTGTTTTTAAATAAAAAGTTACACTGATGCTTAGCAACACTATTTCTTGAAGACCCATTTGTAGTAAGAGCGTTCACTGCCACGTGTGTTTCGAAGTAACCCAGCTTGAGACAGTTTGGTGTCATGAACCTGGCACTGACCTCAAAAGTGGACTCCCACTTTTGACGAAAACCCATGTGTTATGTAAGCTGTAACACAACAGTCCTTGAACAGCATTTCATTAAAGTACAAAGCTTGAGCCCCACTCGGGGTGACAGGAGAGGCATAGCCACAGCTTTAATTTAGAGATGGTCTCGAACGAAAGCCTCAGATCCAGACAGCTCTCTCTTAAAATTTCACAATGCTCAAACCCCCTACTTTGCAGGTTTCCTCTAATTCGAGGGCCCTATTCTGAGCAGCACAGAGAGTGCCCAGGAACTAAAAGGATGAAGCACTTCACTGACTGAATAACCACTGCAGCTGGCCAGGGAAAAAGACTCACAGAGAGCATGCAAAGTCATGCTGTGGGTGTGATGTTTGAGCCTCGCTTTTTAGATCGTATCTTCAGAGCGTTATACATGGGCTTAAAAATGTGCTGCTTTATAGCACCTTTTTTTTTTTTTTCTGGGAAGCAGCTACAGAGGAGCAAGTTTGTTAAAAATTATTGTCATTAGTCCTCTTGGGCTGATGCTGAATCCACTCTGTTTCTACTGTGTAGGGATAACCACAAGAAATCAGAATACAGCTCTTTTCTACTACTTGTCCAAAAGGCTTGGCTGCCAGGAGAGAGAAATTTCACATTAGCAGGACAGGAAAACCCACTTCCTCAAGTTCCTTTCCAAAACCCCGGGTCTGAAAGCATCTGAACTCTGAGAACTGCTCCTCCTCTCTTTTCCAAATAAGCATTAATAGGACGGAGTATGCAAAGTAGCTCCTGTTAACCACAGACAATTGCCATCTTTCCTGCCTGTGCTCTCTACAGAACAGCATTTGCAGGTTTGTAGTAGAGTCTGTCAACAGCAGATCATACTTTCTCTCCTTCTCCTGAATAATAATGAACACAAACTTATAAGATATCAGATGTAGCAAATTAGTTTAGAAAGCAAATTGTATGCTTATATTCTCAAAGTAGTCTAAGATGGATGAAACATCTGTATGCTGCACAGCTGAATATTTATTTTAGCCTTTTTTTTTTTCCTCCAGTACTCTATGACTTGTCAAGCTGTGTGATTATTTGCTTCACATTGTGCTGGTCCAATGTGATGCTAGGTTTTTATGCTGACCCACTTCTCTGTCTGCCTGTTGGTGTATCCCCAGGCATGCACATGGATTATGGGGCAGCCCCACTCCTCTCAGGCTCATCACTGGTGGCGTGGGGCTTACTGACTCTTTGTGGTTTACCCTCATGACCGTGTTTGCTGCATTCTGTCTCCTAGATTCATAGAAGGGAAAACTTGTCAAGTCCCTCTACAACAATGATTCAGTAAAAGGTTTTCTTTTTTTTTTTTTTAAAAGGGAAATAAATAAATAAAATGAAAAAAAGAATTCCATTCCATTTATATTTTCTGTAAAAGTCCTTGCCTCAGTGAAGCAGAGGCTGTGATCCCCTTGTTCCTCCATTTTCATTGCTCTTGTCTTCAAGCTTTTCCACAAGTCCCACAGCAGCGTGACTTGAACTGGGTGAGCTGACAGAGCTTGAGCTGCTTCACTTTCTCACAGTACCTTGTGGTGTCTCTGCACTCCACTGCCAAAGGGGAAACAAAAAGAAGAAATGGTGATGAAACAATGGAAGAAGGATTTCCTACCTGAGAATGTTTCATGGGGTGGCCAAGAGGAGGACCAAGACAGCTGTGCTCAAAGGCTGAGCAGGGACTTCAAGCAGTCTAAGGCTCAAAGAAGAACCTGTGGGCAGCCTCTGCTTTCAGAGCCTAGCAAGAGGGTTTCTGAGGCTTCTTCAACACTCTGTCAGTTTGTTATCTACCAGCATTTTTGGGAGGCTCCAGTGGTTTCATAACAATTGTTAAACCAAAAATGAAGTAGTAAATGAAACTGGAAACTTATTTTAACAGAGTAGCTGAAAGGCACTTTGATCAACCTTTTGCAGTTGAAGAGACAGTGTGTGTGAGTGCCACTCCAGCTGACTAGGCGTTGTGTTGTGCTTTTCACACTTGTGTTGCAGAACACAGCCTAGGGTGAAGATGTTAAGACACTTTCTGAACTCCCCTAGGTCTTAGGTCCTGTTATAATTTGGACAGTTTTTAAGGCCAGCAGCATCCTGCTTTTAAGCTCCAGATTGGAAAATTGTCCAGTATCCTTGCAACATTTTGGGTGTGTTGTTGCCTCAGGGACTCCCATGTCCCATGCTAAGGCAGGAAAGGGGATCATCACACAGCAGTTATATAGTCCTCTCCAGTAATGTCTGTGCCAAATAACTCTACTGTTATTTAGATGTGGGACATTTTTATACAGCAAGAAGAGGTTGGAGGGACAGCAAAGGTCTTGCTTGGTACCTGTAAGTGCCCTCAGCCCTTCCATTTCCATTAGGGCACACCAAATTCAGCTCATGGATTTGGGCCTATGGAGTCTACTTTGCCTCTACTGAGAGGGAGTGTCAGAGCTGGCATGGTGTAGGCAAGCACAGGCAGGTTCTGCTGCTGCTTCTGCAATGATTGCACAGCTTGCATGCTAGAGGGTGAGATCTGCCCATCAAAATTAGCACGTGAAGTGGGAGCTGGTGATTTAAACTAGGAAAAGCTAGTGATTTAAACTTATGCTGCCTGGTGCTTCCCAAATGGACTTTGCCGTAGTTGGAGGATCGTTTCTAAAGAGGCATATAATCTGTTCTTCATTGTTTTTTTTAAAATAATCGTAACTTTCTAGTCCTTTGCCAGGCCCAATTAGTTGCTTGTCACTTGGAAACAAGCAGTCTCCACTCCAGGAATTCCCATCATCAACTTACCCAATGGATTTAGACTTATTCTATTTTAACTATTGCCAGCAGTCCGTGATTCATGTTTTTCTTTCTGTCTGTACCACTAACGGTAAATTAAGACTGCATCAGCCATGTTATTAGCAAGGGGATGCAATCCCAGCGCTAGCACTGTCACCAGCAAACCACAATGGGCACCATTCCCCCTGGGGCACTGAGTTTTGGGCACAGCATTTGGCACGTGTTCAGGCTGGAGGTTGCCCAGGACACCCAACTGCAAGGTCCAGCGATGCGTTCCTGAGAGATGGCTCTGCCTTCTTTTGTCCCCCCGCACCGCACCGCGCTGCCTCCACTCCTCTTGGCCACGTACCGTTTTCACAGGGCGTGATGTTGCAGCGCTGCCAGTTCACTGGCCGCGGTCTCCAGGAGCAGTGATGTTCCAGCACGGGCTTGTTGGTGCGGATGTGCACGCAGTCCACGCGCCGGGACTGGAAGCCGTAGTTTCCACACGTTGCTGTGCAGACAGTCCAAAGGCTGACCCTCCAGTGCACGCCGCAGACGTCGGTCCAGCAGTTCTGGGTGCTCAAAGGCCTGTGGGCAGGAGGGAGGGAGGGGTGACCCATGACCATGCTGCCCAGGGAGCAAGCACGTGCTGCTCTGGGTGTTGTACAATGTCCATGGACAGGAAGCCTTGTGCGTCACAAACGTAATTTGCTCAGAGCATGGTATAGAATCACAGAATCATAGAATGGTTTGGGTTGGAAAGGACTTCAAAGATCATCTAGTTCCAACCCCCTGCCATGTGCAGGGATACCCTCCACTACACCAGGTTGCCCAAAGCCTCATCCAACCTGGCCTTGAATACTGCCAGGGATGAGGCATCTGCAGCTTCTCTGGGCAACCTGTTCCAGTGCTTCACCACCCTCTGAGTGAAAAATTTCTTCCTTATATCTAATCGAAATCTCCCCTCTTTCAGTTTAAAGCTATTGCCCCTTGTCCTATCACTACATGCCCTTGTAAAAAGTCCCTCTCCGACTTTCCTGTAGGCCCCCTTTAAGTACTGGAAAGCTGCAATAAGATCACCCCGAAGCCTTCTCTTCTCCAGGCTGAACAGTCCCAACTCTCTCAGCCTGTCTTTATAGGTATGGGTCAGGTCTTTAACGGGTGCAAGTAGGGGTAACTCCAGTGCGCTGAGAGATAGTTTGTAAGTGCACTCAAGGATCACACCCTCAGCAGGTGCACACTGGTATAGCACTACTGGAGCTAGATGACCCTTTGAACTATTTGAGTATTTGGGTATTTGGCCAAAATGTCCTCTTCATGAAGTGCCAAATGAGGCATCTACTGAAAAGATGCAGTAAGTGGAGTGGCAACCAGTAGGACCCAGCAGTGCTTTGTAACTTTTTTATGGCTTTCCAGCTAGTGGGAACAAAACCAAGACTCTGAAACCCTCCTTTTCCCTTCAACACAGTGTCACAGAAGATGCATGAGCACACTTGGTTCCTACCTATTTGTCACACAGATAACGAAAATATCGACCTGATACAAAAATTAAAAGAATATCTACCTGAGAGTGTTGAGAGAGCTGGCTAATTTCATTGTGAGGCTGCTCTCCATAATCTTTGACAATTTATGGACATCAAGGGACATCCCAGAAGACTGGAAGCAGGCTAATGTCACCCCCATCTACAAGAAGGGCTTAAAGGAGGATCCAGGATATTAGAGGCTTATCAGTCTTACTTCAGTCCCTGGGAATGTTATGGAATGAATCCTCCTGAGGGCTATCATAAGTCAAATGAAGCACGTGACCGGGAGAAGCCAGCATGGATTCACCAAGGACAAATGGTCCTTGACAAACTTGATTGCCTTCTATGACAAAGTGAACTGCTTGGTTGATGTGGGGTGAGCAGTGGACGTTGTCTACCTGGATTTCTCCAAGGCTTTTGATACAGTTTCCCACAGCCTTCTCCTAGAGAAGCTGATGTGTGACGGTCTAGACAAGTGGTCTGTGCAGTGGGTGGGGAACTGGCTGACTGGCCACACCCAGAGGATGGTGGTAAATAGCTTCTGTTCAAACTGGCGACCTATCACAGGTGGGGTCCCCCAGGGATCCATATTGGGCCCAATGTTATTCAGTATCTTCATAAGTGATCTGGATAATGGATGAAGTCTGCCGATGATACCAAACTGAGTGAGGAAGTGGACACTTCGGAAGGGAGAGCCACCCTGCACGAAGCGCTGGGTAGGCTGGAAGAGTGGGCTAACAAGAATCTCGTGAAATTCAACAAGAACAATTGTAAGGTCTTGCACCTGGGAAAACATAATCCAGGAGTGCAGCACAGGCTGGGATCTACCCATCTGGGAAGTAGCTCTGTGGAAAGCGACTTGGGAGTTCTGGGGAACAAGAAGTCAATATGAGCATACAGCGTGTTGTTGCGGCAAAGAAAGCCAACAGGGTGCTGGGTTGCATCAACAAGGACATCACCAGCAAAGATAAAGAAGTCATCATTCCATTCTACTCATCACTTGTCAGACCACCCCTGGAATATTGTGTTCAGGTTTGGCCCTTATTATAAAAAGAGATGTGGACAGGCTGGAGAGAGTCCACAGAAGGGTCACAAAGATGATCAAAGGACTGGGAAGCCTGCTGTATGAGAAAAGGCTGAGAGAACTGAGTTTGTTCAGCCTTGAGAACAGAAGGCTTAGGGCATATCTTCTCACCACATTCCGCTATTTAAAGGGTGGCTACAAAGAAGATGGAGACTACCTTTTTATCTGGAAAGGACGAGGAGCAATGGGTACAAGTTACTCCTGGGGAGATTCTGATTGGACACAAGAGGAAAATTTTTCACAATGAAAACAACCAGTCATTGGAATAATCTCCGCAGGGAAGTGATGAATTCCCCAATATTGGACACTTAAGATTCAGCTGGAGAGGGTCCTGGGTCATCTTTCTATACTGTGGTTTTGCCATGAAAGGTTGGACCAGAGGATCCTTGAGATTCCTTTCCACTATTCTAAGATTCTATGAAAATACTTAAGTGAGAGACAAAGAGTCAATGATATTAATTTTCGGTCATGAGCAGGCATGAATTACATACCTAAGTCTCATGTAAAGTAAGTATGTCTTTATAATGTTGACAGTGGAGTTTATCTGCAGGAAAACGAAAGCTTTGGAGTCCCTTTTTTACCTCTGTTAGAGCTTGTGTTTAAATAAGAGAGATGGAGACTGGCAGTGTAAGGAAAGATAGCACAGCCTTTCAGTCAGGATTTGGTATGCCTAGAAGACTTTCCAATTGTTGGCCAACTGGTGTTTTTTCTGGGGCTCACGGGAAGAAATAGTGAAGTCTGGGCTTAATCCTGATGATATTTGTACCACGTAACTGTATGGGTTGCAGCATGACCTCTTTGTTCCACAGGGGAGACCCGAAAGTTGTCAGTCGAGTCACTAGTCCGTTCAACATCTCTGCAAAGGGAAGTGGTTTCAGACACCGAGAGATTCCTGTCCTACCTTGGTAAGGCACTGCATTGATCCGATGACACAGAAGTCCCATCTTTGGTCTGGCAAAATACCTGTCTGTGCTGTACAGCCAGTCGTGGCCCAATGCAAGGCCCATTACACTGTGAACACAGAAAAATCACTTAAGGGAGGTAAAAGGCGGGACATATTCCCTCTCATAAGACTGCTGATGAACTAAAACGCATACTGCCATGCAGCGACTTTTGAGCTTTCAGGTATTTCCTGCAGCTCTGCTTGCTTTGAAGGCTGAGCGCACAGTCATCTTCTGCCCTACCTCACTCTCCTCCAGCAGCATTAAAACTGCATTTCTATATCTGCTCTGTGGATTCATCTCCTCTCCTCTTCAATAGTTCAATCTTAAATACATCTGTTAGAGCAAATAAAACGCTCTCATGTCCTTACCCAAGAGCCTATAATCCATACAGGAAATCTCAGTACATTCCTTTTATTGTGCATTTTGCAGCTTTTACTATCACAATTTATGAGCAAATAGTTAATAACCAGAACGCATTGAACCAAGAACATATTCCACTCCACTTAATAATTTAAAAGCATTGCAGGACAATAAACACAAGCAGCAAGGATGATGAACACAGCAGATCTGCAAACTTGCTCCAATACTGAGGTTATCCTATCCTATTCAAGCTTATCAATGACATGATTACTGTTTAACTCTTCTAATCCTCTCCTTCGATTAAATATTAATGAGCTATAGGTATGAAGCATGGATTTGTGTTCTTTTAAAATTGTACCAAGCGTTAGGAAAGAATTCGTTTTTCTAAGTATCTGGAAATTATATTCAAGAACAGACTGAGGGTTGAAGAAAGGGACCTTATTGTGTGAGGGAGGAATTTTTGCCAGGAGGGCTGCTGGCTGATTCCTCTGGTCTTTGCCCCCCCCATCAGTAGGAGCCCTATTTTGCACTACCATGGACTCCTCACATAATACTCCTTCCCAGCTGCTACTTCTTCCTTCTTTGAAAAAACTAAGAGAGAGAAGCAGTGACTGCCAGGTTTCCAGTTGCTCCCAGTCAACCTCCACGTTGAGCAAGGTGGATAGAAATGTTGTTGGCTGAAGTATGTGGAGCACGTTTGCAATATCTGCAGGGGCTAGCAGTCCTCATCATCAGCAAGCCTAAGTCACTGGTTTTAAAACATTATGGCATTACATAGTGGAGATCAATACATGAATGAAAGGAGTTAATTTCCTTTCATTCTAGAGGTGGGAGTAGAATAGGTTGTCTGTCTAGGAAAACTAGTCAGTACACCTGGGCAACGGGGACCTGACACCCCATGATACTACCAATATGGTCATTGATGTACTGAGCCACTGAGCCAGTGTTATGTTCCTAACTGTAATTAGAGAAGTCTTCTGGCTTGGACACTGAGCTGTGTAGAATCACGTGGGACTTGATTTTTCTTTTTAAGCTAGGTAGAAGAAATGTTATATTATAATGCACGAAGGTTAGGTCTAACTAATTCAGACCTCTTTGATTGTCTCAGCTGAGTATGATGTCATGGGGAAAAAATACAGCCCATAATGATCTACAAAATAAGGATGAGGTAATTGGCTTTTGCAAGGATAACTCGGTCCTTACTTGGAATTCCACAGGGAGTGAAAATTTGCTCCTTTCAAATAAAAGCATAATTCCAAGCACTACTTTTAAATGCAATACAATAACTTATTCATCTTTTATGAGAGAAATCTCCAAAATACACAGGCAAGAGTTAAATGAAGTTGTTTCCAAGTAGCGAACAATAACAAGTCTTCATAGCTGAAGACACTGTTTACTACTAACATCGTAAAAAACCCTGGTACAAGCTCAATAGGTTGTGCAGTTTAATCCACACAAATACAGAATGCATGTGGTTATTAATAAGAAACTATTGCATTACTCTAACCTCTAATACTATGAGATAGCATTTGCCATTGTTTTAAAACTGACTTACCACACGCTAATTAGAAAAGGAGACAAAATATTTAATGACAGCTCACTATATGTCAAGAATGATAGTTATTACTCTAGGTCATTTTATTCTTAGTCTTTTCTTGCATGGTAAGAAGCCTCACTTCTATAGCATTACCTGACTCATTATTTCAATTAGATGTATGATTACTTTGGTTTTGCCACACTGCTTTTTCTTTTTCTTTTTGAAAATGTGTATTTCACCACAAGTGGTGTTAAAATAGTACTGGTATCTTGCTGTACCCTCTAGAAAAATTGGTTTCTGTGGTTTTAACTCTATCTCTCATTCATTCTGGAATGCTATATCCCCATGTGAATCACCACTCTGGAGATCTTTGGGCTAAAATCTGTGTTTCTACCTCTAAATCTGGACTGTAGTGGACTTATCAACCTTCACATACAGCTCAGTCAAGCTGGAGTGGAGAGAAAAGGGAGGAAAGCACATAGTAGTGACTGGTTCCAGGTTCTAATTGAGTATATATTGACAAGTATCTTCTCAGGAAATCTCATAGCTCACAGAGAGACAAAGACGAAACTCTTCTGTGGATTCCCACAATAAAGCTATTTAACTCTAAATACTTGAAACATTTGGTATTTGTGGACTGAAGCTTTTTAACATCTGATCATCGTATAAAGCTGCGAGGAGAGAATTTGAAGATCTCCAGAAGAGCATGAAGTAGTCTGAACACGCTTTTAGCTCTCCATTCTACTTCTCGTCATGAAGCAAATCAAGAAATCTCTAATTTTTTGATGTTCTCAGACAGCGTCAGCATCTTTGTAAAACTGGGTTATTGTACACCCCCACCCTGCCCCAAACCTATCACAATCACCAGTCCTGACTCTTGCCAGCCAAAACTGAAACACACTCTCTGGGTGGTAAAGGGAAATAAGACTTGGAGAAGGTTGTTTCCCATATACGTCACCTGTCACTAGGAGAGGAGCTGCAGACCTTTCCACTGGGGACCATACAGAGGTCTGCAGTAAAAGTCCTGTCCACAAACACCGTTTCTAGGTATTGCAGGAAGCTACAGAAATCCAAGCATGCAGTGCATCAAATATGAAGTTGAAAGAGCTAAGCAAATTAGTTACCTCCTCAAAAGCCTGCAGACCATAACCTAAAGATATCAGGGTGCAAAATCACTCCTTTCATTTTCTGTCACTTTTTTCTAGCCCACACTGTGAGGCTGTCCTTGGACTGCTGGCTTGCTCCTTACCTGGCCCCAGGAGGAGGCCACCCACTCAACACAGGGCTGCCTGTTACAGCTCTGTGTGTCCACAGGGCGCTTGGACACCTGGGTACAAGCCTCATTCGACATTGGGACAGAGCTGCCTTTTGCTGTCAGTTGCTGGCACGTCACTCGCCGCGTCTGGATGCCTCCACCGCAGCTCCGTGTGCAAGGAGACCACGACGTGATCATCCACCTGTGAGAGAAAGGTGAGCCAGTCAGGGAGCAGATACGTGCCACCGTCTACAAGGTCATTGGTGTCAACAGGTCTTTATGTATTGGACCAAAGAAAGGCAACAATGGCTTGGTTCATTTAGAGTGTGATCCTGGAGGGTGCTGAGTGCCTCAGCCTCCCATAGTACCAACTGAAAACTGCTCAGAGCACAAAAGCTGAGAATACAGCATGTTTCTCATTAAATTATCTTTCTCAAGGCTCTTTGGGCTGAGAATTCATTTTCCAGCCCTTAATGCTCTTTTTAAAGGCTTAGTAAATATTTCTTGCCCAGGCACAGGGATTGGGCAAGAAATTGACTGCTCTTACACCACAGTGCCATGAAGACCTTGGTCACAGGCTACAGTCACAATGACAGCAATGACTAGCCCATTTACACCCCTTAGGAGGGAAAGCTATCTCTGTAAACTTGCTGGGGTAGCTCACAGGACTCTGAACTTGTTGCTGAAGCTTAAAAAATGCTGTCTAACCAGTAAAAAGTCTGTAACAACAGAAAACAATAGTCCAGATCCAAACTCTTACCAAGATGTACAACACACTTTGTCTCTTCAAGGATCATTAAGTGATATACAGTCAGGTTTGGGAAGGAGGTAGGTAGGAACAGGAAGGATGGAAGTGATTGCTAGTTTCCTGAAGAGTTTTATGATCAAGTCAGCAGTTTGCTTCATTAAGTTTCAGGATACTAGGCAGGATTTGTGTGTTATTGAGAGGAAAAGAGTGCCTATCACGCCCTTCACCAGCAGTGTTTATGATTACTTTACAAAATAGGCAATAGGCATTCTCCAGTCCCATGGAGAGGCATCCATTGCTATTCCTTAGTCTTCGTGGGTGATTAACTCCCGTGGTCACAGAAACAAGTATATAAACAAACATACTCCCAACATGGAAAATAAAAACACTACTACTTTTTTTCATGCAGTTTGGTGAGGCTGAGTCTGAAGTTTCCGCACCCCTCATAAAGCTCCGCTCTACATTTCAATCAACTTTTATTTCCAAGCTTACATCTCAGCAGTTTTTCAGGAGCTGAGGGAGGATTGTGGATTGCATTACAGTTCAGGAAAGGTATAAAAAGACATAAACCATTCCCATGGAATTTACTGCCATCACCAAGGAAAACTGCTGCTAATGACCATGTTTCATATTTCATCAAATCTCTTTTGGTTTCCTTCTTATGACTCAGCTGGCAACTCAGAAAACATTTGCCTGCAAAGAGGGGTAGGAATATGCTTTAGAAGGTAATTAAACAGAACCTTTCCGTATTCCCAAGACACAGCAAGAGCGGTAAATCTGGCCACTTACTTCTCATCAGGTTGCTTAGCACCTCTCCTTGCTTCAGCTTCAACTCTCTTTTTTAGTACAAGTCCCAAAACACTGTTGAATGAGAGAAGTTGTACTAAATTTCTCTTGAGATCCTGGCTACTTTTAAGTGTGTGTATATTGAAACACACCATGTCCACAGTGGAAATAAAGGAGACGAGGGAATAAAAACCCAGAAAAATATGGAAAAGCACGTTTACACATCTCAGTTAAGGAGCCACTGAATTGCAGAAGTAGGACATTTTTAGCATGGAAGGAGTATAACACTACGCTGCCTCTCTGGATAGGCACTCAAGATGTATTCTTGTTTGCATCAAAGGGTGTCAAAGAAGGAAAGTGTTTTGCAGAGGAAGACCTAAGTGTAGTCAAAAGTCTTTCATGCTGTCCTGACTCCATTGTGCTTAACAGTAACTGAAAAACAGGGGATTACAGGGGCAGAGAGTTACAATCCCAAAGAAACCACAAGACAGCAATTTCCAGAAGGAGACAGAACTCAAGTCTGACCCTGCTTCATGCCCACTAGATCTCATGGAATGTGCCCATTTTACAAAAGCCCCTTCCACTCTGCTAAGTGAATTCTTTGCAGCTGCAGCTACAGTCCTGCTCATATTGATGTTCAGGGAACAGAGAAACTCCAAAACAGCTGCTAAACCTAGCTTCTTGTCTGTTATACTGTTGGGATAAACTGGTATGAAGCCATGTGGAACACAAAAAACATGACTCTACAGTTCTTGGGTAATGAAACTCCCATATGTAGAGAGCTCAGAACAGGCACGATATTTACATCCAACATCAGGTGAGACTGGAATTACCCAAGACGACTCAAGCTGTGAATTTTGCTAATAAAGTGTAGGAAATAGCCTCTCTATTATTTTCTAATCTAATTACTGAAGGAGTGAACTCTTGTTCTACCATCTACTGTCAATATTTTCCACCAATCTTGCTACAAATTCCCAACTTTCTAGGTTAAGCACTTATAAATTCCCTTTTAGCCATGACTTTTCTTCAGACAGGCACCAGAGAGGCTGCAATGGCATGATGTCCAGTGGAAAGAACTCTTCAAACACATCTTAAAAGGACGTATGACATTTTAACATGTGACAGACGAACCGTGAAGGGCAGTCTCTTCTGTTGCATGCGACAGGCTGCAGGGCTGGCTTGGGCTTCTCTTTGCAGTGGGATATGTTGACTTCGGCCCCATCCAGTAAGCACCTCAGCTGGGGTAGCTGCACCCCTTTGTGGCCGCAGGAAGCCGAGCAAGCCGTCAGCTTGTCTGCTGACCACCGGTATTCTGTCAAAAAGTGTGGGAGAGACATGTTAACACTCAAAAACTGACAGTAGGAGACCCTTAGAAAATGAAGAGTCGAAGATGTTCTCCAGGATGAAATATTTGGACCAATATTAGGACTCACATACACCTACAAGATATTAGGCAATGAACAAAGAAGGAACGGGATTCCAGCTCATGTAAGCCACTGACTGTCTTTGGTGTAAGAAATCCAATCTTTTGTTGCTTAGAAGAATCAGGCAGGGAAAGTGAATGACATGGTAGAGTAGTTAATTGAAGCCAGATGTTAGTGATGCAGGATATATTGCATCCGTGTTTTTCAAGGCATGTGATTTAATGAAGATGTGGTTAACTACAGTTACCAGCAGTATCTACAATCTTACAACAGTGTGTTTTTCACCAGGTAGATACATAGATCATCTACACTGAAGATGAATGGGGGAGTTGCAACACACTTAAAATTCTATGGCAAAATTTAAGGAAAAGTTAGATTCTTCTTCACTCCTTCCCTGACAATGGGAACACAATTGGAACAATTGGAAAGCCACATATTGTGTTCCAACCTGTCTGCACTGCTCTGTTCTGTGGCTTTATCACCATCAGCTTATTTCTAGGGTAAATGTAACGGCTGCAGCGTTTTTACAAGTGAAGAGTTTTCAAGCAAGAAGAGACTGTGAAAAGCTGAGTTTAACTGGTTAACAGAGAGGTTTCTAATTTTAGGAGTTCAAACTGTCACACTTCTGGCTTGAATTTCTGGACAAGAAAATTGTCCAGACTCAAAAAGCAAAAGCATAGCTTGAATCAGCAAGGCGTGTTTTATGCTCAGCAGGCCACAAATATCAGGTGTCATTTTGATAAAGTAAAATTTAAGACACTGTAAGGTAACTGGTAGCCCTACAAATCTATATCCATGGCAGCAAGACATCAAAACATTGATTTCCTTCTGCACACGACAGCTTTGATTTCATAGAGGAGAAATCCAGGACGAGAAAGGCAGTGCAGGGAAGTCCATAGCAAGGGCTTCACAGGGCAGCAGAACTGAAACTGGAAAGTTACCTTGGATAGCCAGAGACGTTTTTTGCGTGAGTGAGCCAGCCTCATTCTGAGCCAGGCAGCTGAATTCACCATCAGGAGCATCACTGACGTTGAATATCTGAAGAATCCGGCCAGCTGCCAGGAGGCGATGCTGCAGACTGAGAGGCTTGCCAGAGTAAAGCCAAGTGATGTTCGGGGTGGGATGACCATCCACAGCACAACCTAAAAGACGGGGATGTGAAAGAAACCTCCTGAGTACTTGCTGCAAAATTACATTATTTGAAGTGATCCAAATTGTGGGAAAAATTCGATCTCATCCCATTTTCTCCTCATTTTATCATAATGAAAAATAGGAGTACTGTGGTAATGAATACCTTCGCATCAGCTGAAAAAAATATTATCCAAAAGCCAGTTAATCGACCATATGAAAATCTCAGATTAGTTTGGAAATATTCATATCAAGTCTTCTCAGGTTCCTGTTAATTTGGATCATACTCATTTTAGTATTGAAGAAAGTGGGATAGGGAGGTTACACACCTAGCATAAGCTCTAGGAGCACGCATTAGCAAGAAGGACAAAGAGAACTTGGTCTCCAAACCTCCTGTTTAAACCACAGGGCCATCTTCCTGTCTCATTTTTTGTACTAAAAATGAGAAGTTTTTGTTACACAAAAGTTTACACAAAATTTTTTGTTCCATAAAAAACTGTTGAAAAAACAAAGAGATAAAATTGAGCTTTAGGAGTTGTTGTTTTTATTTTTTTTGTCAGAGCAACAGGCAGTTCTGCAAGCAACAACCAACCAAAACCAGCAACTGAAAAAAACCTGCTCTTCTGAACCACTATAAGGGTATACCTGTGGATCACCAGTACAGCTGATGCAGTTTAGGTTCAGAATGGGTTCCTTGCCTGTTGAGCTGAGGGAGAGCATCTGTAAGATACTATTCCCTGTGGTCCTCATACTAGCTGCAGACTTTGCCAGTCCCTAGGAAAGATAGCTAAGATGCCTTACATAGTTCCCTGGAAAAAAGAAAGGACTAGGCAGTTTCCATGGTGCAACCTGTCTTGGTGGAGAGCCAGAAAAGCCATGTGCAAGAGATGGCATATATTACTTGGACTGCTTGTGGCTTAGGCTAGTCCTGCATTTCCATGCATCTCACTGATACAAGAAAGGTCTGGCTAAGTTTCTGTGAATGTAGCCTATACTGATTG